AAAGGAACAATTTATTTGACGACAAAGAATAATAAAAAATATTTAAGAAGTCGACAAATGGAAGTGTATCCAAATCCAAAGGTAGATCAATTTTCTGAAACAAGATTCTATCGTCCTGGTGACAATTACCTCACAATAAATGGTGATGACCTCAATGTAGGAGCAATGGAAAGGGATATCAAAATTACGGTAACAAATATTCGTGCTGTTTTTGATATGCCATAGACAATCTTCACGCTCAAGGTTGGCGGAGTTGACTGTCAGTTGACTGCTCTAGCCAGAAAAGTCCTCACTTGTAAACCTCCAACGGAGAAGCCGGATCTGGAGAGTGGTTTGCTACCAGAAGTAGTAGTGAAAGTTGGTGGCATAAGGTATGCTAAAGCTTTTTGTTATTTTCTTCGGACTGGCCTTGTTCCAAATTTTTTTCTTCATTTTAGCTACAGCGTTGGCCTGTTCTCCTACGATTCTCCGTCAGTTACATCGGGTGTGATAGTAGTGATTCTAGGATGTATTGCAGCGATGTTAGCATGTTTTGTTTGCTTGGCTATAATGTATAGGTAAGCTGCAATCTTTTATCGAAATCTACTTCAAAGCAATTATGAATTGCTCGGTCAAAATTTGTACTACTGGTATGAATTGGCGTGAATTCAGACGGAAAACGAACTCTCATCAGCGACAAATGAAATATCTAAAGACTCAGATGGATACAATTGAGATGAAAGTAAGGTTACATATATCTGCGGTTCATTTCCTATTTATTTATTACGTCAAGTGCGTCGATTTTATTCTTATATGTTCTTAATATTTGAGAACCAACCACTATGTGAAAAATACTTACCTTTTTGCTTCAGGTAGCGACAGAATGCAAGGAAGCCTTTGCTGAGTTGCAAACATCTTTGAATCAGTATACTGCTGACCTCCCTCTTGGAACACCTATAGTACCCTTTTTGGAATACAAGGATTACTGTGCGAGGGTAAATTTGAAAATCAATACGTTCTTTAACATGAGTCTGATAGGTCCTTTATAGGTACTGTTTCCGAACAATCCGCACAACCATCCAGTACTTCGAGATCTAGAAGTCGACAGCCAGAAAGCTGGTGCAAT